GGGTCAGACCCTGGCAGGGGGCTGAGACCTGACCCTGGAGGCATCCTCTGCAGTGTGCGCTGAAGAATCGATCTACAGGGACACCCCAAAACGGAGTCCCCTGCCCCCCACACCTTGCCCCAGTGGTGATGAGCTCCTGGCGAGGGTGCCCATTTCTGTTCTCGGCCATGCCGTGCTGCGATCAAGCTGGCCTCTAGCCCAGGAGCGGGTGTAAAATGTGCACAGGGCTCAGGCCATCAGGTGGGTCCGATAAAGGAAGCTACAACCCGGCTCTAGCAAGTGCAGTCTCCAGCCAAGGGCACCCCCAGCCCACCCCATCCCCTCGGGGCTGGGGTGCACCAGGCCTCACCCATCAGCTGCTCCATGCTGGGCTCTGTCCAGAAGGGGCTTGGGAGCCCAACAAAGGGAGGAGGAGTGTCCCCTGCCCCCCCATTTTGTGTAAGACCTACAAAAACTTGACCCTAGCAGCAAGGAAGAGGAAAGCATCTTCTGGGAAAGAGCATGGCTGCATTTCCCTAGGGCCTCTAGTAAATACAGAGATGCACGGGGCAGGAGGAGGGCAGGACCCGGGACATTGGAAGAAGAGAGCGGCGCACAAGCCGTGGCCTCCTCACCATGCCTAGGGCAGGGCTGGGGGTCCAGGCTGCCCCCCTCGCTGTCCCAACCCCAGTGGGCTCAGATGTTCTGGCAGCAAGGTGCCTGCTTGCCCTCTTGGTGGGTGGGCAGCATGTGGATGGGCTCAATGGTGGTGCTGGGCCCCAGCTCCAGCTCCGACTGTCCGGCCATCTGCTTCTGTGACACGATGCGGTAGATCTCTGCAGGGCGGAGAGGGCAGTGAGGTCAAGGGGGAAGCCCCCAGCCCTGCCCCCTCTGCAAAGCCAACAACCCACACTGGTCCCGGGTTGGGTTTGGCAGAGGGGCACACTCAGCAGAGTCCCCCTTCCAATAGCTACGACTTAGTAGGAGCTGGGGAAACTGAGGCACAGAAAGGGAGCGAGTCTAAGAGAACCCAGGCATCCTGCCTCCCAGGTGCTAACCACTCAACTGCCCTTCCCTAGGCGTACAGCTGGCTTGGACCCCAGCCCACCAAGCTCCAGCCTCCCCCATTTTTGGAGACCCCTGGCCACAGCCCCCTCCATCCCCCTGCAAAGGGCCCAAAGAGGGAAGGGAGGCAGGGGCAGGTTGCCCAGCTCTGGCCTCACGGACTCACCTGTGAGGATGTTGTGGAAGGCCGTCTCCACATTGGTGGAGTCTAGGGCCGATGTCTCGATGAAGGACAGGCCATTCTTCTCTGTGTGGGGCACAAGAGCGGGGCAGGAGTCAGACAGACAGATGGATGCATGCCTCCAGCTCCCACTATCCCACCCACTTCCCACCGGTGACCTCTAGGAAAGCCTGACCCCCCGTGCCCAGTGCCTGGAGCTGGGAGAGAATCTCCACCTACCATACAGGGCCCATGACACATGGTAGGGCTGTTCCCTTGCTACCCAGAAGGTAGCTACACAGATGCCCCCCTCGAGGTTCCCAGCTAGGAGGGGGATGTCAGGGTGCAGCGAGGCAGAGGGTCAGGGACACGGACCTGCAAAGCTCTTGGCCTCGTCAGTGGGCACGGCACGGAGATGCCGCAGGTCACTCTTGTTGCCCACCAGCATGATGACGATGTTGACATCGGCGTGGTCCTGCAGCTCTCGAAGCCACCGCTCTGCATCCTCGTATGTCAGGTACTTGGCGATGTCGTAGACCAGCAGTGCGCCCACCGCCCCCCGGTAATACCTACGAAGCGGAGGGGAGAGGGTCACGGGCTGCCCGGGGAAGAGGCAGAGGGGTAATTGTGGGCAGGATTCCTGGGTCCTCTGCCACCGAGTCAGAGCAAAGCCCCCGGCGTGCCTCAGTTTCCCCCTCCCCATGCACACAGGCTTCTCCCTGAAGCAGCTGGTGCAGCCCGTTCACCATGCTGTTCCCCGCCCCAGAATCAGCTGCATCACAGCCCTGGGCAGAGCCTGACTCACGCTGAAGTGATGGCCCGGTACCGCTCCTGCCCGGCCGTGTCCCAGATTTGCGCCTTCACGGTCTTGCTGTCCACCGTGATGCTGCGGGTGGCGAACTCCACGCCAATGGTGCTCTTGCTCTCCAGATTGAACTCGTTGCGGGTGAAGCGCGAGAGAAGGTTGCTCTTCCCCACGCCCGAGTCCCCTATCAGCACAACTGTGGGGGACAGGACAAGTGTGGGCTAGTAGCTGCCTGCACGGCTGGTGGCTCCAGGCAAGGATTAGATGTGGGGAACCCCCTGCACCCTGCAAAATATGGGAGACCACCCCCAATCTTCCCAGCATGGAGCCAGGCATGGAGGGGCTAAGAGGCTGAGGCTGGGGGGGCAACAGAGGCACCGGGGGCTGGACAGTCTCACATCTGGGCTCAGCTGCTCCTCTTTCATGCCCAGGAGACAGGTAACATTGTGGCCCCAGTTGCCCAACAGCAGGTGTGATGGGGAAGCAGCCACTTCCCCCCACCCTGCTGTCTGAGGATCGCTGTCACCACAAGGCCGCATTGCCTCGTGAATGCAGGCTGAGCAGATGACAGCTCGGTATTGCTGCACGGCTAGTGGAGCTGCTCTGTGTTTGTGGCGACAGGGTCCTGCAGTCCAGCCGCCCCCATCCTGCCAGCAGCGCAAGCTCCCATGACACCAAGGAAGCTGCCCATGTAGGCGGGAGGCTGTGGCCTGCCCCAAAAGGACCAGGGGGAAACTGAGGCACAGGAAAGGAGAGGGGCAAGTTCTCTCCTCCAGCTGCAATGCTGCCTTGTGTGATCCTGAGAGATCCCCAGAGCCTGCTGCCTCCATCTGCAGCACCCCACAACACACATGGTCTTATCCTCACCAGGGACCCCCATTTCTCAGGCACCAAACAGGCTCATCAGACCCTGGGGGTATGCAGGTATCCCACAATCCAACCTGCTGGGAGGCAGCTCAGAGCATCCCAGGGCCCCTTCCACAATGCCCCCTGCCTCGGCCAGGCCAGCTGGATGCTGCAGGGAGGCAATACCGCCCACCGCGTGCTTGGCTTTCAGCTCCGAGCCTTCTTGTTCATCTCCCCCCAGGGTTAAAGGGAGTCTCGCTGGGGACTAAACTCCTATTTGTACCAGAGGAGAAAACCCCAGTTCGGACGAGGGAGAGAGAGATAGGTCCAAGAGGTCTGGTCTCTATGCTACTGCTTAGGCCGTGCCCACAAACACCAGAAGCAGAGACCCTCATGCCACCCAAAAAGGGCAAGGGCAACTGGAACCAGTTTGGCCGAAGAGAGGAAGCAAATCTTAAGCTGTCTGTGAGCTGGGGAGGTCTTATCCCAGCACCAGTGCCCACAGCGCAGCAAGGCTTCTGCCTCAGTTTCCCCTTTCTAGGGCAGGGACAATTGCAAGCATTAATTAAATTGCTTTGCCAGGGCCTGTGAAGTCAGGAGGGTTGAGGTCAGGGCTGGGCTGTAGCAGCTTCTAATAGGAAGACCAGGGGTTTGGCAGCCTGGAAAATAGACTAAAGGCACCCAGGGGATGGCAGGGACCAGCTACGCTGGGGCTTTACAGCTCAGATCCTCCTGCCACTGAAATCACGGCCCCAGTGCCTGATGGGAAGGAGAATCACCACTTGATGTTTGCAATATAGGGACTGTGACACTCAGTTAAAGAGTTGCGCCCCCATCCCAAAGTGGGGAACACACCCTCCCACTCCAAGATGGGCTGAGAGAAACAGAAATGAGAAAGGCTGGGAGTTTCCTCCTGTGAGGAGCTCAGCGATCCTGGGTTCGAGTCCTGCCAGACCCAGCACAGAAGCAGGTCACAATTCCCTCCAGGCCCCTCTGCAGCAGGGGGATGCGTTTGTCAGTGCCAGCAGTGAGGACAGTCACGGCCCCATGCTGGCTCAGGAGGGCAGATGGGAGCAGGGGATCCCCACCTGCCCTTGACTGCGGGCCACAGAGCAGCCCAGCTGGCCTGGCAGCATTTTTGCCTGGGTGGAAAGAGGCCCGTGCAGGGCAGGGACGCTGGGGTTCAGGCCCCACCGGCTCCCAGAGCAGCACCGCAGCGCAGACCGGTTTCCCAGGGCCACAGGCTGCACCAGGAAGCTGGATTCGCCAGGGCTGTTGGCAGGGAAGTGTCTGAAAGGGAAGGTGAGTCACCAATGACTTCATCCCCGCCCTGGCTCTGCCCTGGCTCGGCAAGGCTTTCCGCCCAACTTGTCCCCTCCCTTGACCTGCCTGCACCAACGTACACGGGCCTCAGCCACCTGGAGCAGGCAGAGAATCCCCAGGCACTGACAGCAGTATGGGACTTATGACACACAGTGGAGCAGGTGCAAGAGGGAGCAAAGATGTGGGTGTTTTTGCAGGGATGTGGAAGAGGACATTTAACGCACACACTTGACATGGAAGAAACCACCCTGGGGTGCTCCCTGAGGGGCAGTAGGAAGCGCAGGACACCCCCCCCCGCACTGCCTCGTCCCCACTAATCTCAGAGCCCGTCACAAAGCTCCGCACCTTCTTTGCAAGCCACGCGGGAAACCAGCTGCATAGCCAGGTGCATAAAGGGAAACTGAGGCACAGAGCTGCTTCGCCTGAGATGATGCTGGCCGCAAACAGAGCCAGGAGCAGAACCCAGGCGTCCTGCCTCACCGGGCCGTGCGTCAGCCATGTGCCCACGTCCCAACATGGATGCCTGTGCCGCAGGTGGCATCACTTCCCCTTTCAGGATTGCTCACGTCAGGGAGAAACCCCACAACCCCTCAGGGATGGGGCACGGACGGGCAAAGGGATCAGGGGAATGAGAGAAAGGGAAACCAGCTCAGCAGCGCTCTGCCATGGGGCGTTTTGCCTGCCTCCCACCCTGCTAGACTCCTTACCCCTTTCCCACCCCGGACACTTGTCGTATTAAAGCCATAAGAACGAATACCCCCCTGCTCCCCCCGACACCATGCCTGTACCACGGGGAACCATGTGGAGGGGTGCAGGGGTCAAGACCCAGCCTCCCCCCATTCAGGCTGCAGTGTGAAAGGGAGCAGGAGCTACAAGGCTGCCTGCGTCCAGCCGCTGGCATGGAAGACCCACGCATGCACCTTCACAAGGAGCTGCAGGGGCAGAGAGATATCCATACAGCTCCTGGCACTCCTCGATGCCTGGCCAGCAGGGGCCTCTACAGCCCCAGCAGCAAACAGCCCCTTCCCATTTAACCCCCGGTCAGCATCAAAGCTGGGCTCAAAAAAGGCCTTTGTAACCCCAGCATCAGCAGCTGGGCCCTCCAGCCAGGCCCCCAGATGCAGGGCAATCCTACCCCACCCATCACTGGGAGCAGGGCCCGGCGCGCTTGGCACTGTGCAAACCCAGAGCAAAGTGCCCACCATCTAGGCCGGGTTGGGCTGGGCAGGACTCACTTTTGAAGAGGTAGTCATACTCATCATCCTTGCCTCGCATCTTGCCCAGTGCTGCCGGCCGCCCTCCGCACTGCACCCAGACACCTGTCCCAGGTGAGCTCACTGCTCTGGGATTTCCTGGACACCTCTAGGTCCACCCCACCAGTGCTGGGGCAGGGCTCTGGCACGTTTCCTGTTGGTGCCTGGCACTTCCTCTCTCAGACAGATTGGCTGGTGGAGCTGTCCATCACCTGCCAAAGGGCTCACCTGGCACAGGTATGCGGGGTGGAGCTTGTATGGAGTTCTTAAAGGGACCGTGTTTCCCTTAAAGGGTTTGATGGGATGTCCTAGCTCTGCTTCATAGAGAAGCTTGTTCAATCTGCCTGCTGTCTGCTAGGCCCTTTAAGCGTTTTGGGTGGGGTGTGGGCCACTCAGCTGGGCTTGGCTGGTAGGCTTTCATGTGACTCTATGCACACAGTGACCTGATCATTGTGCTGGATGACTCATCCACATGTCTTGTCCCCTCCACTGCTAGCATCTCGTGGGGATTCTCCTCTAGCTCAGGCAAAGCACTGGGAAGCTCTGCCCCAGCTAGGCTGTGTGCCATAGCGCCAAGCAGCCCCGTAGGTGCCTGCAGGCATGCATCACCCAGCTGCGTTTGGATCCAGCCAACCTGCCCCAGGGTGTTCTGGAGGCAGGATCGGGACCTCTCTCTCCTGACCCAGGCCAAGATACCCCCATATCAACCCCCTGTTGCTTCGTGTGGCCAAACTGGGTGCAGCTCACTTGGGGCGTGACTCAGTGTTTGGCCCTTTCTGCTCACCCCAGGCTGGGGGAAACCACCCAGCAAACCCCGCTGTCATAGCACCTTGTCTTCCCAGACACCCATGCCCTGGATCCACCCCTGCCTGAACCCTGTACTTGCCTTTAAAGACCCAGCCCTTGTCTGGAAGAGAAACTGAGGCAAGGAGACAGCAGCACCCTAATGTAACAGGCCCTGCTGCCCTTTCTTTACCCTTTGTGAACTGCAAGTAGGGTCTTTACATCCCCTGCAGATTTACGTGCAGCTGGAAATGTGTTGGTTTAACCTCCGATCCCAGGAGGGGGACCCCCCCCCCCATGCCAGTCTGACATGGGGAAGAAAGTCCTTCCTACCCCCAAACCTGGGGGGATCAGTTTGACCCTGAGCTGGACCCCCCAGCCGGTTGGAAGGATCTGCAGGAGCATCAGCTGCCCCCAGGCAATGTCCTGCCTCCATCCATGGCCAGTGCATTAGGGGGAAGGCAAAGGAAAGCCCCAGGCAGTGTGGGCAGAGCTGGGCTTGTGAGCCTGGGGCCTGAGTATGGTGGGGGGCACTGACCACACTGCTGGCGGCACACACCTATGCTAGGAGGACTGTGCACACACCCCATCACTTACCCCCAAGGACACAGGGAGGGCAGGGATGGCAGAGCCTAAAGGGGTAGACCCACCCTTGGCAGGTGGGAGTAAAGGCAAAGCAAACCTGCCTCTTGAAAACAGTTTAATGCTTGCACCCGTATTGCACGGACCACAGCAGCAGCCCCCACCCCGGGATCCATGCCCCAGCTGCCTTCCAAAAGGAATCGGGAACATGGAGGCTCCCAGCAGGCTGGGACCACATCCAGGAGCGACGGGGATTCCTGCGTCTGCCTGGACCCCGCAGGGCAGGCTCCGAGCAGGGCGAGTCTGGGGCCAGCCCGGAGCCCCACGCTGGCGGAAGCAGGGCCAGGCTGCAGGGCAGCAGGCAGAGGGGTGGGCTCCTGGGCCCCTTCCCGTGCCGGGCTCAAAGGTTGAGGCAGCAGGAGCGCTGGGCTGGTGCATGGGACTGTGCGGTGCTGGCGGTGCTCTCGGGGGACAGCGTAACAGCATTGTCCGGGGCGCTCTTCTGCTTCTGCTTCTGCACCTTGTTGAAGATCTCTGCGGGGGAAGAAGTGCTGTGAAATGGCCCCTGGGGCAAACATAAACCCACCCGACAGGGGGAGCCAGGCACCGTCTCAGCGAGCACAGCTGACCCCCGTCATCTCCAAGGGCGTAATACCAGCCCTGAGCCCCGCCACGCCTCTCCAGGGCAGCTCCATGGGCCATAAAAGAGGTTCACACCCCATCTGCCTCTTTACACCCCCAGCCCCACTCCAAAGGCAGAAAGCAGCCTCTAAGTGATTGACAGCTGGGCTTAGCCAATCAGCTCTTTCCCTTGCAACCGGGTCTATAAGGTCGGGGGGGTGCCTGCACTCTAGGGGCTTTTATGGACCTTCCCCAGTGCCCCCCAATGCCCTACGCACCCCGTAGCACGGTCTCAAAGGCCTGCTCCACGTTGGTGGAGTCCAGCGCCGAGGTCTCGACGAAGAGCAGCCCGTTGTTCTCTGCAACAAGAGGAGTCTCACGAGGTGCCTGGGCCTATGCCAGGGGCAGGACGGACCCCCTAGCGCAGAGCCCTCCGCACAGTCCCCTTGGGGCATCTGTATTTCCCACATGTAATGCACCTTCCGATTTCCAGCAGGTGGTTTTTTGGGGTTGGGGTTGGGGAAGAGATGTGTGTTGTATGCAAGATGATAATTTTGGGAGCTCAAGACCCCCAGTTCCAGGCCATGGGGCCAGGTAGCCAAGCCAGCTGAGCTGCAGGGGGTTAGGGAGTGATTCTGTGTACCTGCAAACATCTTGGCCTCCTCGGTTGGCACCTCTCGAGCCTGGGTGAGGTCGGTCTTGTTGCCCACCAACATGACGATGATGGTGGCTTCGGCATGGTCATAGAGCTCCTTCAGCCACCGCTCCACCTCGTCATACGTCTGGTGCTTGGTGATGTCGAATACCACCAAGGCACCCACTGCGCCCCGGTAATACCTGCCGAGAGCAGGCAGCCTTACCATGGGACCCAACCCAGAGCTTGGGACACCCCCACAGCACTTGGACTGGGCCCTGCAGCATGTCCCCCGCCCCAGCAGTGGCTGAACGGGAATGGGATAACAACCTACTACTGCTGGCATGCATCAGAGCTGCTCCTTGGGTTCAGGGAGGGATGCATGCAGAGTCCCATGGCCATGAATGCCTATGCCTTGGTGAGCATCGGTGCCAGCTTTCCAGCCAGGCTGTTTTGCATGGAAGAGGTGCAGGGCAATGGGATATCAGGGAGTATTGCCAAGACAGTGGGAGAGTGGCGGGGGTCAGGGATTGGACCCATGCAGCACTGGCTCCAAAGACACTAGGAGGAGACATCGAGGGCCCTCCCCGCCAGGGCACTCACGCTGAGGTGATGGCGCGGTAGCGCTCCAGCCCAGCCGTGTCCCAAATCTGTGCCTTCACCATGGCGTCGCCCACCAGGACGGTGCGGGTGGAGAACTCCACGCCGATAGTGGTGCGGCTGTCATGGCTGAACTCATTGCGGGTGAAGCGTGAAAGCAGGTTGGTCTTCCCCACACCTGACTCTCCGATCAGGACCACTGGGAGGCAACAGAGAAACCTCCGTCAGCACGGGAGGGGAGTGGAGGGAGAATCCCCCTGTGCTGCCAGCAGTATGGGGCATGTGACACAGTTCTGGAGGGGGTGGTGGGCTGCTTAGTAGGAGCGTTACCAGCAGATCGAGGGCAGTGATTCTTCCCCTCTATTAGCACTGGCAAAGCCACATCCAGAGTCCTGTGTCCAGTTTGGGCCCCCACTGCAGAAAGGATGTGGACACACTGGAGAGAGTCCAGCGGAGGGCAATGAAAATGGTTGTGGGGCTGGGGCACAGGACTTGTGAGGGGAGGCTGAGGGCACTGGGCTTATTGAGTCTGCAGAAGAGAAGACTGAGGGAGGATTTAATAGCAGCCTCCAGCTCCCTGCTGGGTGGCTCCAAAGAGGATGGCACTGGATTATTCTCAGTGGTGGCAGATGACCGAAGGAGCAATGGGTTCAAGCTGCAGCAAGGGAGGTTTAGTTTGGATATTAGGAAAAACTTTCTCACTAGAAGGGTAGTAAAGCTCTGGAACAGGTTACCCAGAGAGGTGGTGGCATCTCCATCCTTGGAGATTTTTAAGACCCGGCTAGACAAAGCCTTGGCTGGGCTGATGGGGCTGGTCCTGCTTTGAGCAGGGGGTTGGACTAAATCCAACTTCCCAAGGTCCCTTCCCACCCTCATTGTCTAATTTTATATCATTTAGGTTGTGAGCTGTGTGGAACAGGGACCTTCTTTGTTTGTACATTGTCCAGCACAGCCGTGTCTTAAGACCTAGATATACAAGGGGATTTAAGCATCACATTGCATGGCGGTACTCAAGCCCCAAGCAGGCTATCCAGGCCTCAGCGCTCTATCCACCAGGCTGGAGGGTGCTCCAGGATGGCCTCTTCTCTCCTGGTGAAGTTGTTCTAAAAACACTCAGAGATTCACCAGAGCAGAGAGAGGGAGAACAACGGACTTCACAGCCTGGCAGCAACTACATTGGCCTGGGAAGCAGGACACCTGGGTTCATCTCCCAGCTCCAAGGCAGCAGTTCTCAACCAGGGGCCACAGCACTCTGGGGTGCCTGGAGATCTTTTCCAGGGGGCCATGCTCTACATGTGCAACCATGATTTGCAGGACAAACCCTGATACAGCAAACAGGAGTCCAGAGCTGCAGATTTTCTGAGTTTTTGCAACAGAAAAACTGCTCTGGTATTCATTTGGTAGGCAAAAAAAGAGTAAAAACAAAGAGGTGACACTTTCCGAGGGGCTTCTTGAGTCTATCTAGAGGTGCCTCCAGTCTAGAGAGGTGGTGAACCACGGGATTAAGGAAACCAACCATGAAAGAATGAACCAAGGGTGACTCCCACGATTTCATTTCAAGCCTTGTTATATTTAGGGGGGGTCCCACAACTGCCAGCAAATGATGGCATGAAACTCTCTGCTGCCATTTGATGGGGAGCTTTAAAATATACAGAGAAACTGGAGTGAGTGGATCCCAGAGACAAATCAGAGCCCACCACCCATCACTTTTCTAGCTCATGATTTTTGAAGCCAGACTCAAAATATGGGTTGGAGGTAGATTTTTCCTGCTTGAGACTGTTGTTTCTGCCTCACACCCCACAATGATCCTTGGAAAAGTTTGCCACAAGTTTTTGCGTGGCTTTCAGGGTCCGTCTTGCCCTGTGACACCCTTTTAACTTGTCAGCTGGGTGCAAACACAATGGGCTGT